ATCCGAGAAGAACTGCAGCCGGTAGAGCGTTCACAAGGAAATCTCTGCGGTGGCGGCGGCGGTGGCGGCGGTGCCAAACCCATAGTATCCTCACGAACTTCGTTCGGGGGATACAATTATGGTATCATGGGCTTTTGATGCTGCAGGGCAGGTTTAAACGCCTCCACGTGAGTCATTCGGTGGGTCTTCCCTGCCATGTCCACAGTATAACCTGATTACCGGTGTTAAACTAATAAAAGCGTCGGTAGTTGAGTTTACATCGCCATTAATGGAGCCGCGCTGGAATCGTTCCACACACTCGCTTATTCTCATAACACTATTAACTCTATCTAAGAAATTCGTATGCGGTTTATTTTTTGAACCCATTCTGAGCGAGAGCTCGCGAAGCAAACCAAACAGCAAACGAAACGATGCTTTTATTTGGGCAAATAAAAAGACATTTCGGTATATTTACCATCGGTTATTCTGTACACACGCAGGTGCATTAGCCAAACATGGTTTACAGTTTGCATAGCAGAAAAGCACGTATGTTGATAACAAACCCGGATCGGCGCCTTGCAAAATGCGTATATGTTGTAATCAACGTATTGCGTCTTAACATTATGTGTATAACATCACTTACCACGAACCAGTTATTACATGCCCGCTAGACTTTGGTTAGGACTGCAAAAAGATTGTAGCGGTTACAAAAAGCTATGAAATGATCTAACTGTGAACTTTCTTGTAGTGTACTGTATATATATATAGTAAAAACCACACGGACACCAATGAAGACATAGATGTATGGGAAATAGAAATATAGTAATTCAAAACCGTGTCGTTCCCGCGAGCATTTGAGAAAATAATTATGTTTTTTTTGTCAGCCTATATGCTGTATGCTATAGGTATACGCTTTCTACATTGTAGCATGCAGTTTTTACATTTCTCTCGTTCTTCCCCCCCCCTCTCTCTCTCTCTCTCTCTCTCTCTCTCTCTCTCTCGCTCTCTCTCTCTCTCTCTTTCTCTCTCTCTCTCTCTCTCTCTCTCTCTCTCTCTCTCTCTCTCTCTCTCTCTCTCTCTACTCTACTACTACTACTACTACTACTACGTAACTACTAACTAACGTAACTAACTAACGTACTAACGTAACTAACGTAACTAACTAACTTAACTAACTTAACGTAATAACTAACTTACTAAGTACGTAACGTAACTAAGT